GGTAGGTCTGAACTCGCGCAAGGATTCTGGAAGCTGGATTCTCTTAGCATTAGATCAACGATGTGAAAAATTACTGGAAGTGCCGAAACAGCGCTGGAATTAATGGCTGATAACAGCTCGATCGGCATATATGGTTTCAACATCGAACTTTGGAATAGATCAGCAGGGAACCAGCTTACAAATGCCATCAGGGGGCCTGGCGCAAGCGAAGGTGGGTCACAACGACCACTCTGAAAGCTGAAGTGAATGACTGATGAGAGGGTAAACATTGATTGAGCTTTGCTTTGTGTCTGTCCCTCAGCTCCCCCCCCTTCCAAAATACGAATTAAGGAATAATAAAATAAATAAATCAATTAATGGACAGATCCCATCTCCTAGAACTGGAAGGGACCCTGAAAGGTCATCGAGTCCAGCCCCCTGCCTTCACTAGCAGGACCAAGTACTGATTTTGCCCCAGATTCCTAAGTGGCCCCGTCAAGGATTGAACTCACAATCCTGGGTTTAACAGGCCAATGCTCAAACCACTGAGCTATCCCACCCCCTAAGGTAGCACTAAACGCCCACAAGGCATATTTCTGGAGCGAACAAAAAGGTACAAATGCGAAGCAAAGGAAATGAGTTAAGTTAGTTCCCCAGTTAGCATCAGAGGCCTGGGGCAACCTAGGCTCCGCTTCGAGGGCCGTTGGCGGGATTCTAGACCCAAGGGCTCAGGATGACCTAGACCCTGCTCCATGGGACCCTTGACACACCAAGTACCTGAGAGAGGGAAGAAGAGAGGCTCCCTCTAGGGCTGGTAGCTACGCCTGCTCTGTTTGCCACTCAGGATCCCGTGCAAGGCCAACATAGTTCCCGGGGTTTATGCTTGAGGAGCAGAGGCTTATAGGAAAAGACGTGAGCAGTGTAACCTTAACTGCTCGGGCGATTCTCCCTCAAATCAATGACTGTGCATTAAGCAGACGGGTTTCCGATTCTCACGGGTACCAGTAGCCTCTGCCCAGCTGTGGGCCATTAAAGATCCGTTTCAATGGGGGGGGGGTTTATACCAGTGCAGCTCCCCCCACCCCAGAGCAGACAAGGCCCAGAGGCTCCAAGCATTCACCTGCTCTAGGGCCCAGCTCTGTGGGTTGCGGGGGGTCAATAAAAGGGGAGGGAGAGGAAGCGTTTTGGGGCCAGCGGGTGACCCAGAAGCTCCGGGTCTCTGCACTCCGAACCTGCCCCACCCACCCCCAGCAGCGGTCAAACCACCAAGGCCTCGGAAGTCCCTAAGTTCATGCCCGCGTGATCCCCGTGCCCGGGTGACAGCCTGCCCCTGAGAGGATTTACACGTGTATTCGTGCTTGCACACACGTGTGTCCGGACGTTTGCCCGTGCGCTCTCCCAATCCCACGGCGCACGGGCAGCCCCAACCCGGCCTGATTTCTCCCAGGGCAGTTTGGGGTCTGGCCCTCCCCCACCCCACCAGCAAGGACTAGCTCTTGGGTGCCAGGGGCTGCGCTGCCAGGGGGCTGTGGCACAGCTGTGTTGAGCCCGATTCGCCAAGGCAGCGACCCCGGAGGCACATGGATCTCCCCAAGCCGCGGGGACAGCACAAGGGAAAGGGCTGGAGCCCGGCTCTGCTCCTCACGCTGCCTCTCCCTGGCCCCAGAGCGCCCAGATCCCAGAGCTCCCTCCCGGGCCCGCGCTGTCAGCCGGGCCCATCCCCCATTGCCAGGCGGCCCAGCCCCCCTCACCTGCAGGAAGGACAGGTTCTGGTTGTGGTCGATCAGGACAATCTCCAGGTTGCCCATGACGATCTCGCAGTTGTTGTACATCTTGTACAGCGTCTGGTACTGGTGCTGGGCATCGCCTGTCACGCTCAGCCCGTTCAGGGTCCCCGCACACACTGCAGCGAGGAGAGCGCGGGCGTGAGAGCCATGAAAGGGTTAATCGCACACTTCTCCCCCCCCCCCCGCACAACCCGCCTGCCGGGCCCCCCCTGGCAGGACAGGAAACACGGTTGCAATGGAGATTCTCTCCAGCACCAGGCCTGGCTACTCAATCTCACTCCAGGACAGAAAACAGCCGGGGGGGCTGCTTTTGCCCCCTCCATTTCGCTGGGTGCCCCCCACCCTCCTTCCCTGGCTGCCTTCCAGCCGATACTCCTGGCCAGGCCCTTTCTGGGCCCCCGCCAACCAGCCGAAGGCCCCAGCCCCACCCTCCTGCAGGTAAACAAGTGACGAGCTGATCCCCTCCCCCTCCCGCTGCCATAATAGCTCCATTGTGACACCCACGGGGCGGGGGGGGGGCAGCACTTGGGATGTGGCCAGGGGGCAGCCGATGCCAGCAGGCGGTGGGGGAGGGACCTCAGCCAAGCGGGCGATGGACCCGATCCTGCCTTGCCGTGGGGCCGAGGCCCATGTGCTGCTTCCCGCGACAGCTCCAGCGCCCCTGGCCCTGGGCCAGGACATCTGCCCCACACCGTCCACCCCGGGCACTGCTCAGGCGGACGGAGCACGGGCAGGGCACCCGCCTTGGCACCCAGGACACCTGGGTTCAGTTGCCAGGTCGGCCACAGACAGGGAGCGCGTCCGTGGGTCTGACATCCCCCACGGTGCGGTGGGCCCGAATGCAGGCTCCCTTGGCCCCACACCCCTGGGGCCAGGCTGTGGAGGGGCGCGACTGGCGCCTCCCGAATCCCGTGAGGTTTCCCCACGCCCCGGGGGAGCCGAACCGGCCGAGGCGCTTCTTGTGCAAGGGAGCAACCAACCAACCCACCCGGCCAGCCGGCACGCCCCGAGGACTGGGTGCTGCCAGCCGGCGTCACGTAGCCCTGGCTGGGGGCGCCCGGCCCAAGTCAGAGACGCCCCGGAGCCCGGCCACGGCCTCCAGCACACGGCCAGCACGGGCCTGGGCGCCAGGGGCTGTTCCCGGCATGGCCAGGGCAGTGGGGCTAGTGGTTAGAGCTCTTGGGGGGACAGAGTCGAAGGAAAGCCCAGGCACCCCCATTCCCTCCGTTTGATTGTGGGTTCATTATTACAACCCAACCCTCTGCCCCCCTTCCTCGCTCCTCCCCTTCCCCCAAGCCCCTGCCCCTCCCGCATTCCCTGCCCTCCCCATCTCCTGCCCCCTTTCTCTCTCCACCCCGCCCCCATCACTGCCCCCAATCTCCTGCCCCCATTTCTGTCTCCACCCCGCCCCATCACTGCCCCCCAACCCCCTCAGCCTCCCCCTGCCCGGCTGAACTTTCCATCATCTCTGACAGACCCTGCAAAGGTCAGATGCCACCTCCCGCTCCCCCCCCCCCCAGTGCAGAAGAATCGGCCCTTTGGGACGGGGACCGGGCAGCCCTGCCAGCTCCAAGGAGGGGGCGGGGGACGCACAGGGGCTTCATTGTGCCCGGCCCGGCAGGATGCAGCCGCCTCGCAGATTCGGGGCGTATCTGCTCCCCAGGCTCCGAGGGGCCCTTTGTGTGGCCGAGGGACGGGGGGGGGCGAGGGGTTGAAGGGCCCCAGGCATGTTCTTACAATAGGGGGATTATCCAGGGGGAGGGGAGCGCCGCCCGCCTGGAATGGCTCCGGGGGGGGGGACTGCCCCCTTACATCCGATTCCCAGAGCCCCCTCGCCCTCTGGGGGGGTGAACCCTGCCCCCCCTTCAGTTTACACCGCGATCCCTGCTCCTCCCCACCCCCCAGAGATTCCTGCCCCTGCGGGGGGAGGGGTGGAGAGAATCAGGAACCACCCCCCCCACCCAGGCATGCGGCCAGCCACTGGGGGCAGATCCCTTGTGCTTCTGCTGCCCCCCAGCAACCCCACCCTACAGCACCCCAAAACTCCCCAGCACTCCACCTTAGAACCCTCCAGACAGCCCCCACCCTACAGCCCCCCCAAATCCCATTCCTTGCAAATGCCCCTCTACACCCCAAGCACCACCCCCAACCTCCCCAACAGCCCCCCACTATTCAACACCTCTGCTCACCCGCCCCATCCCCACAGGCCAGGGCAGTGCCCGCCAGCCTAGCGATGGGGGAGCTACAAGAGGCCCCCCCAGGTCCAGTGGGGTCCGGAGCCAGGCTCAGGCAAGGAGCTGTTCCCCCCATCACCCTCCCCCCAAAGCCCAGGTCCAGACAGGAGGCTCGAGGCCAGGATACAGGCCCATCACCAGACAGCACCCGGCCCTTCCTGCCTGATAAAGGGCTGGGGGAGTCATTCAGGGGACGCTCCAGCTTCCCCGGCCAGCCCCCCCAGTCCTTCCTGCTGGCCCAGACGGCCCCTTCCAAGGCCGGTACCAAGGGGCCAGACGTGACTCAGGCAGCGTGTGTTAAATAGGGTCTTTGTCTCCGGGCTGAGATAAGGGCCCCCCCTTCCCTGCCCCCCCCCAGCCGCCAGGAGTCCTGCTTCAGCACAGAGGTTTGGCACCAGAGGAGGTGGATAGACCGGGACCCCCCAGGGGCTGGGGGAGACAGGGGTGGGGCAGATTCCCCAGTAATGCCTGCGGCTCAGCACAGCCCCCCACTCCCCTCTTGGCCTCCCCATATACCGCCTGCCGCAGAGAACAGAGAACTTGTCACAGGCGTGAGCAGCTTGGGGAATGGGGTAGGGGCCTGCCCCCTCTGGGGGGCGCCGGCTCCCACCTGGCCCCAGGGATCTGGCTAGTTCAGGGGGGCAGGGAATGGGGCAGGGGCCTGTCCCCTCTGGGGGGCGCCGGCTCCGATCCGGCCCCAGGGCAGGGACTGGCTGGCTCAGGGGGGCAGGGAATGGGGCAGGGGCCTGTCCCCTCTGGGGGGTGCCGGCTCCGATCCAGCCCCAGGGCAGGGCCTGGCTGGCTCAGGGGGGCAGGGAACAGGACCTTTCACCTCTATGGGGTGGGAGTCGGGTGCAGATGGGGCAGGAAGGGCGAGAGCCCCAGCTGCTCCCCCCCCCCATGGCTGGTGTTTTAACCCTTTGTGCTCTGCCGCCCTGAGGGGCTCCCGGGATTTTTTTGCCCTTTGCTGGATTCCCCTCCAGGCTGTTCTGTCTCCCCAAATAGCCCCCCCCCCCAGTCACCGGGCAGGGGGGGCGCCAGACAAATGCACACCCCACCCCCACGGAGGGGCCCAGGGGAAGGAAGCACCTTGCACTCGGTTCTGGTGGCCCCAGCTCGGAGATGGGGTGGGGGGCGGACGCCCCCCCCCCCATGGGAGCGGGGGATGGGCCGTGGTGACTGACAGGCAGCCACACACCCCCACCCCGGGCAGCTGGGCGCGGCCGCAGGAGCTATTTTGGTGGGAGTTTAAAAAAAGATTCCCGGCTGCGTTCCAGGCGGGGCCGCGGGGCCTGGCCCATGGGGAGCCCCACAGGGCCAGAGCCAGACCTGGGGACACCGCGGGGAGCTGCCAGCCCCAGACGGAGACACCCCCCGGGACAGGCAGACAGGCCCTGCCTTGCAGGTTCAGTCCCCCAGGCCTTGGCACCCCACTGCCCCCCATTAAAGGGGTCTCCCATGTCTAAGCTGGGATGGGGCCTGTTACCTGCCCCCCTCAGGGTCTGTCAAACCTCTGACGTCTCCCCCCCCCGGGCTTTCCTTCGACAGCAACCCCCTGCCAGCCCCCAGTCCTGGGCTGGGCCACGCCTCGCT